ATAGTATTAAACATAACAATACTGAACGCTGAAACAAATAAATGTCTGGTATTATTTGACTTATCAAAAACATAAATAGTGTCTTCGGTTTACTATACATCAGATCATTAACTGCTAAGTTAGAACTCGCTGCTAATGACTTGTCCACTGTCCAGATATACTTAGACTTTACATTCTAGTTCTCGGTACGTTGACAGCATTATGAGTCGTGTTGCTTGTCTCTCTTGGGTTCCTTTCATCTATATTTTCATATGGGTGCATGGCTATTTATTTGTGATACAGCCAGCAACTCATGCAAAGCCACTTTCTTGAGGTTACAGTAGACACCTCTATCAAGTTCTGCTCACTTCTGTATGTTTGAGGAGCCTGCTAACCAACTAGCTATTTTCGTGTATTAGTGTTCTCTGCACTTTTTTTGTTAAATTTAGCAGGGTATCACTTCTGGAAAGCTTTTTTAGTTCTTTTTTCTTGTTATCTCATAAAATTTTAAAGCCATACCTCTTCTTCTTTCTTTTTGTTTTTTGGTTTTTGTAGGGATGATTTTTACTTTACAACCATGACATGATAAGTCCAATCAACAGTCTTCTATTTAGTTTAGAGTAACTATGTTTCTTATGTTGTAATTGTTATAAAATTAAATGAGTAAGAATAATAAATTTGTTGTTTGTATATGTAGATAGAACATCGTATGTGGATGTATGATAGGAATCTTCCTAATCGGCGGGGTTTAAGAAATGAATTTGTACAAGGTGTTCATGAGTTTATTAATCATGCAAAGTCATTTAGCCAAAATAAGGAGATGATTAGGTGCCCTTGTGCGAAATGCAAGTGCAGAAAATGGTTGAAACTAGAGGATGTTAAGACTGATCTATATAGTAAGGGCTTTATGGATAATTACTATGTGTGGACTAGTCATGGAGAGACTAAGGATAGTGATGGTAATATTTATAACCATAATTTTGATATTGGTGAAAGTAGTCAAGATCCTAGATTACATGAAATGGTTATGAATGCTTTTGGAATGTACAATGAGGGTGACAACCAACAATATGTTGATCAAGCTCCCAATGAAGAGGCAAATCATTTTTACGCACAGTTAGAGTCTGCTAGTCGTCCACTTTGCAATGACATGTCGCACTCTAAGTTGTCTGTAGCGACTAGAGTACTAAGTATTAAATCAGATGCCAATGTTTCTCAAGCGGGCATGAACTCTATGATTGAGCTTATGAAAGAACTTAATCCCAACCTAGACATACCCGATAATTACTATAAGGCAAAGAGATTGGCTTCCAAGTTAGGGCTTTCTTCAGAGAGAATTGATTGTTGTGAAAAGGGATGCATGTTGTATTATAAGGATGATGCAAACTTAGAGAACTGTAAATTTTGTGGGATGACTCGCTTTAAACAGCTTGCCAGCGGGAATAAGGTTACGATTAAGTCTATGCATTATTTACCTCTTATACCAAGGCTAAAAAGGTTGTATGCATCGATGAGTTCCGCTCCACACATGAGATGGCACTATGAAAATAAAAGGCCACCTGATGTTCTATGTCATCCATCTGATGGAGAGGCATGGAAGCATTTTGATAGAATATTTCCAGATTTTGCTAATGAACCAAGGAACATTCGGTTGGGTTTGTGTGCTGATGGATTCACACCATTTTCTATCTCAGCTACTCCATATTCATGTTGGCCCGTCTTTGTCACACTGTATAATCTTCCACCTGAGATGTGTATGACAAGTCCATATTTGTTCCTAACTTGCATTATCCCTGGTCCCCGCAATCCAAAGAGCTTGATTGATGTATATTTGCAGCCTTTGATTCATGAATTACAAATTTTATGGCATGAAGGTGTTGTAACATATGACATATCAACTAAACAAAACTTCAACTTACGTTCTGCTTTGATGTGGACTATAAATGATTTCCCCGCATATAGGATTTTGTCAGGGTGGATGACCGCAGGAAAGTTAGCTTGTCCTTATTGTATGGAAAATAGCAAAGCGTTCACTTTAAAACATGGGGGCAAGAATTCATGGTTTGATTGTCACCGTCAGGTCTTACCAGTTGATCATGAGTTTAGGGGTATGAGGAATGCATTCAGGAAGAATAAAACTGAACATGATTTACCACCACCCATATTATCTGGGGAGGAAGTGTGGGAGTGGGTTAGGGACTTGCCTAAGGTAACAAAAGAGCCACCTTCTAGATTAAATGGATATGGAGTTGTGCACAATTGGACGAAACAGAGCATATTCTGGGAGTTACCTTATTGGAAGCATAATCTTCTTCGGCATAATCTTGATATCATGCATATTGAAAAGAATTATTTTGATAATTTATTCAATACTGTGATGGATGTTAAAGACAAGACAAAAGATAACATCAAGGCTCGGATGGACTTAGAGGAATATTGTAGGCGGCCAGAATTGCACCTACAACAATCGAACAACAGAAATAAGATCATCAAGACAAAGGCTAGTTATACATTCACTTTGCAAGATAAACAACAGATTTGTGAGTGGATAAAGAATTTGAGAATGCCTGGTGGGTACGCGTCCAACTTGGGCAAGCGTGCAGATGTGATAGAAGGAAAGTTGGTAGGCATGAAAAGTCATGATTGTCATATTTTTATGGAAACTTTAATTCCTATTGCATTTAGTGTTGCCTGAAAGAATATGGAAACCTATCACAGAGATTAGTTTGTTCTTCAAAGAGTTGTGTCCAAACACGTTGAAGAAAGATACTCTACTTCGTATGAATCAGAACATTCCTGTAACCACAAGTAAGTTGGAGAAATTTTTTCCATGTGGTTTTTTTGATGTGATGGAACATCTTCTAATTCACCTTGTACATGAGGCGTTACTTGGAGGGCCGGCTCAATATAGATGGATGTATCCCTACGAGAGGTAATGGCAATAAGTTATTATTTAATTTTTGAATTTATAATAATTTTTTAAGTTCTTATCTAACTATATATTATGTAGGAAAATTGGCAAGTGTAAACGGTTTGTGAAGCAAAAGAATAGGGTTGAAGGATCTATATGCGAAGCCTATCTCGTTGAGGAAACATCTCACTTCTGTTCTTATTATTTTGAGAAACACATGACGTGTTCGAGAAATAGGCCAAATCGACACGATGAAGGCGGGAATGATCCTCTGGCCCCGCCAATATCAATATTCAATCAACCAGGTCGAGGTTCTAAAAGTACTAAAAGAAGAGTCCTAACTCTAATGGAGATAATGTCAGCTACAGCACATGTATTGATTAATTGCCCAGAAGTTCAACCATATTATAAGTAAGTTTCGAATGATACTATTGAGTTTTATGAATAAATCTATCATACTATGTAACTAATAAAAGTCTTAAATGTGTCGGACAGTTGGTTTGTGGGGTTGAGAGGCTGCGATGCTGTTCATACTCAGTTTAGCAATTGGTTCAGAGATTTTGTAAGCTTTACTATAAACTCAAACCAATATCTAGTTGTTTACAAACTATAATTATTTTCTAACTTTTCGTATTTTTACCATATATATGTCCATGATCCAAATAATGGCATAACCGACCAGTTTTTGAAAGATATAGCTTGGGGACCAAGCCCCTGGGTCGAGACAATGAAAAAGTACTATGTCAATGGTTATAAGTTTTGTACCGAAGAATCCTGTAAGCTTTCGAAAAGCAATAATAGCGGGGTGTGGGTTAAAGGGGATACTAACAATTATGATGGGGATGTTGATTATTATGGTGTGATCCATGAAATTTTAGAACTAGAATATGGTGGTTGGCCATACAAAAAGTTGATACTATTTCGATGTAAATGGTTTGACCCAAAACCAAATAGAGGTACAAAGGTACACCCACATTATAACATTGTTGAAATTAACCACAGAAAGCAATATAGAAGCTACGATCCTTTTATAATTGCACAAAATGTTAAGCAAGTCTATTATGCTCCTTATCCGTTGCGTAGGGACAAGTTGGATTGGTGGGCGGTTATTAAAACTAAGCCTGTGGGTCGTGTGGAGGTTGAAAATGTGTTGGATGTTGCATATCAAAATGATATATCTAGTGTTCAACAAGCGGTGGACAAAGAGTTAGAACATGAATTGGAGCATCCTCAACACATATATGAAGAAATTGATCTCGAGGAAGAAGGTTTCGTAGCAAATGGGGAGGAAGAATTATCAGATGACGATGAGTATGCTTCTTACGAGTCAGATGCGACAGAAAGTAATGGAACAAGTGAAGATGAGGAATTGGCAAGTGATGAAAATGAAATAAGCGAAGATGAAGAATTGGCAAGTGTTGAAGATGAGATAAGCGAGGAGGATTAAAAAGAAGAGAGTTTTTGTTGGTTGTTTCTGTATTTGGATTAGCTAATCTTTTTTGTTGTCTACCCTTCTATTTCTTGTATGAGATTCTCTCTACTATCTTATGATAAAAATTGTCTCACATTGTTTCTGTACTATTTCTAATTTCTAGTACTGGTTTCTGTACTATTTCAACTGCTTGGTTGTTGTTTCTTTTAGCCTCAGCAATCAAATGGGATCTCTTATGACCACCTAAAGCTTGAACAGATGAGAAAATCTTGAAACAAATTGGACACTCATCTTTTTTAACTTCTTGGATCAAGAATTAGTCTCAATCTTTTCATTTATTGCACTTTCACTGCTGCAGTTTTTGATGAGTTTGATATGATCAACAACTTTATTTTCAATATATTTGTGGCTTGCCCTATGACCTCCTAGTGCTTGGTAGGAATGGAAACTATTATTGCAAATAGTACACTCAAATTTTTTCTTCTTGGAATTGAAATCCTCAGTAAAATCACTCCCTTTGACTAACTTAATAGCAGATTCAACTTCAGATTCTTTAACAAATCTGTTTTCATTGTCTACTTTAATCTTCTACTTTTTCTCATCATCAGTTAGAACTTGTGATATCTCCCTTTTTTGACCATTTGACTTGGAGCTCTCACCTTGTTCTGTTTTCACATTTTTCACCATTTTCAGCTTGACCAAATTCACCATCTTTATCATTTTGATGGGGTTGATAGTTGTTATCAGAACACTCAATGACATGATTTTATTTCTTAGCTTTCATTTCATGTCTTTCTTTAAGTGTATTGTTAATGACATATTATTTGCTTAGTTAATTATTATTTGTTCATCTCTTTTGTGGTTATGACTCTAACCTCTCATTTATTGTGATACAGGTCCATCGATAACATGTGTTTTTATTCAAGATTCTGTTTAAGTCAATATTTAACACTATTCATTTTTATACTTTAAATCAATAATTTTTACTAACTTATTTTTTTTAACATTCTTATTATGTAGATGGCATCCGGTGAGAATAATGATCGGCGTTAGAGTAATAATTCTTGTGAGAGTGTGACAAAAAATAAAAAAGGAAAAGAGAAGGCTATGGTGTCAAGATCGAGCCAACCCCGTTCTTCCATTCCATCATTGCATTCTCGCTCACAGGGACAGCCACCATTATCAAATCCTTTTTATGGTATGCCTCCCTCGAGCTACCCACCGATGCCTCCCCCGGTCTATCCCGAGATGCCTCCGTCAAGCTATCCATCTATGCCTCCCACAGGCTCTAGCTCGATTCCTCCCTTGGGCTATCCCGAGATGCCATCCCCTGCTCCTTTTCCCAATATGCCTCCCCCGGGATATAGCTCAAGCTATCTATCGATGCCTCCCGCAGGCTCTAGCTCGATTCCTCCCTCGGGCTATCCCGAGATGCCATCCTCTGCTCCTTTACCCAATATGCCTCCCCCGGGATATAGCTCGATGCAAGCTACACATGGCATGCACTCAGCTTATCTTGCTTCCATAGAGCAGCGTCGTATGTCTGGGCATACGGCAAGTAGGCCATCTTCAGAGTCTTCATTATCAGAGACTACTCCATCTCCACGTATTTCTAGGTTGAATATTAGAGCGAGTAGTTTTGGGCATCGCCTACTTCTTCGACTCCTTCTTCTGTTCATGGTCCAAATCCTCCACCGCCTGGACATGTAGATCTTCCACCACCTGGACATGCAGATAGGATTAAAAGAATACGTATCATTGCTGAAGGGGAAGGGTAAGCTTAATCTTTTATGCTATTTTAATGTCTATCTTATATTTTAATAATTGAATTAACAATTTTATAAATGTTTCTATCATTGTCTTGCAGGTTTTACCCTTCTACACCGGCTGCAAATGCAATTTCAGCTGCCATTAGGCAGGTTTATAATGGTGCCTACCCGACTTGGGGGAGTATTCCACATAGTCAGCAGCAAGCGATGCTTAATGAGTTTATGGTATGAATACATTGTTTGTAGAAAATTATATATCTATCTAACTTTATTTATATACTAACGCTATATATTTTGACTGCAGAAAAGGTGCACATGGAGCCCCGACGAAGATCATGTTATTAGAAACAATTTTAAAAAGAGGATTGGTCATCGATTATCAGACGCGTTCTCTGTTGCTCGGAGAAAAAGTAAAAGGCCTAGTTGGGTTCTACCAGATCATTGGGAAGAGCTTCTTAAATACTGGAACACTGATGATTTTAAAGAGAAGAGCGAACAAGCAAAAGTCGCTCGTAATTCTGAGAAGGGTGGCTCGTTGCACACTTGTGGTTCAGTGTCTATGGGGACTCACAAGAGGAGATTGGTACTTATTTAAAGATCTCAGTCTTGATTTTTTCTAACATTACTTGAATTTATTAACTCTTTTTGTTTCAGTTGCAGGAAGCTGCTCTTAAGAGACGTGACACGTGATGAGGTTTGGAAGAAGACCCACACAAAAAGCAAAGTCGGGGAAGAAGCTTGGGTTGAGACACGGGCTGAGGAGGCTTATGTAAGATCAAGATTAACTTAAAATTCTTTTATAATAATTGTTTATATACTAAAATTCACTTTTAATGTAGAATCGGTATAAAGAAGCAGTGGAAGAGCTCGTTAGGAAGCCAGCCGACCGATGAGCAAGGCTAGCCAATCATGCCATCTGTCACGACCCAAAATTCACTAAGGGTCGTGATGGCGCCGGACACTGCTGTCAGGCAAGCCAACCAAATTACTTAATCAATTCTCATTTTTAACAATCTTGAAAACTAAGATTTTCCTTCAATTTTTCATAAATAAAAAAAAAATTGCTTCAATTCAAATTAAATAATAAGCAATTAATACAAAATATTTCAAACCATCCCAGAACCCGGTGTCACAAGTGCATGAGCATCTACTGTCAAGAAAATAAAATATAGCATCTGTCCGGAATACAATGGACAGGAAATAAATACAGTGTACTGAAGAGGGAAGGGTAAGCTTAATCTTTTATGCTATTTTAATGTCTATCTTATATTTTAATAATTGAATTAACAATTTTATAAATGTTTCTATCATTGTCTTGCAGGTTTTACCCTTCTACACCGGCTGCAAATGCAATTTCAGCTGCCATTAGGCAGGTTTATAATGGTGCCTACCCGACTTGGGGGAGTATTCCACATAGCTGAATTGGTATATTAAATTAATTAAACTCGATAAAAAAATTCTGATGGGTAACTGGTATAAAATATTAGGATGTTGTACATTACCCTGGTATAAAAATTCAGCTCATTAGTGAGACTATTTTTGTACATTACCCTGGGTAAACTTTTAGTTCACATTTTTTTTTC